TGGTCGAAACACTAGGCTGTTTCGCTAGGCTCATATCGAACCTAACTTCTGTCGGCTTCGCTGGACCGACAACCCTCACCTCTGGGAGCAGAAAGAAATCTGTAAATCTTAAGCTCCCTCCCGGACTTGGGACCGGGACTGCTCAGGCGCTGGCGATTGCCATGGCAAGTAAGGAAAAAGGCGACTGTACTAGCCTGACCTTACCTGAGCCGAGAGGCTTACAACAACAACAACAACAACAACAACAACAACACCAACACCAACACCAACAAGAACAACACCAACTACAATGACTACAACTACAACTACGACTACAACTACAAACTACTACTACTACTACTACTACGACGACGACGACGACTACTACTACTACCACCGCTGCTCTACTACTACTACGACGACTACTACTACTACTACTACTACTAAGAATACTGATACTTCTAGTATTTTTCATGCTAATATATGGACCCCCCTATTGATTGCATATGGTTTTCGCATCGGGAAGACGGCACACGATGGGGGGCTCAACACATGCATTTCCGTGACCGCCCGTGGACCCTCAAACCGGCAGAAAAGATGGTATCCAGACGCAATCCTTTTCGGGGCCTCCCGCAAACCCTCTGCAACGCCCGCAAAAAGGCAGAAAAGATGGCATACAAAAGCAGTACACATTTCCTTTTCACTCTGCCAAACCAGCCATCGATATACACTCTGGAAGCTTGCACCTTTCATGCCCCGCGATCGTTTTGTATACATTTCTTTGTGCAGAGTGAACCGCTCGATGACACCAGGTTGCGAACACGGCCTGTGACAGTGGAGAGAACAACCACGGAAGAGGAAGAGGGAGGGAACCCGTGCGACCGCAACCTATGCCTCAAACCCGAGACCCATGTCCCAAACCCAATACCCAATCTCCAAACCCGAGCCTCAAGCCCCATCCCTCACACCCCGCACTATACATCTTTGCAGCCCTACTCCAAACCCCAAACCCCGAGCAAATGGATAGCACATCTGCTCAGAAGGCAAAGGGAGAGGAAGATGAAAGAGAAGACAAGACAGGGAAAGAAGAACCACGAAGAAGAGGGAAGGAGCAGGTCAGGTGGGACCCCAAAACCCCAAATCATGCCCCAAATCCACTACCCAGTCTCCAAGCCCGAGCCTGAAGCCCAAAAGCTCACACCCCGCGCCTCACATCTTTGCAGCCTCCCTACCCCAAACCCCGAGCAAATAGATGGCACATCTGGGAAGGTAATCGGAGAGGAGGAAGCAAAAGAAGACACGAGACAACAACGAAGAGGAAGAGGAAGAGAGAGAGCCCCAAACTCAATACCCGGTCTAACCGGGGCCTCAAGCCCAAAAGCCTAAACTAAACTTTGGCACCTACCCAAAACCCCAAAACCCCGAGCAGACAGATGGCACGTCTGGGAGGGCAAGGGGAGAGGAGCAAGACACGAGACGGGGAAAGAGAGAATAACCACAAGAGAGGAAGAGAGAGGGAACCCCGCACCCAGTCTCCAAACCCGAGCCCAACAGCCCACACCCCCCGCACCCTACATCAATGCAGCCTTCCTGCCCCAAATCCCAAACCCCGAGCAAATAGATGGCACATCTGGGGGAATAACCGGAGAGGCCGGACAGGTTATCGACGAATCTACCTAGTTTCGTTCGAATTTTCACACGCCAGGTATTGGACCCGTAATTCTACGGAATTTTGATGCAATCTTTGAGCCACCATTGCGGCAGCTAAGATGGTTTTCTGTTGTTTTCTCCGGCAGCCATCTATTCGGGAACCGCTATAACAACAAAAACTATCATTATACATGACTACTGCTACTGCTACTGCTACTGCTCCTGCTCCTGCTCCTGCTACTGCCACTACTACTACTACTACTACTACTACTACTACTACTACTACTGCTACTACTACCAATAATTGTTCGTAAATTCTAGTTACCAATAACTAATCTTGAGAACAACCTAATTCGAACGATCATCACAATAATACTAATTTCCAGTGCTTGTCTGGTGCTGGTGCTACTGCCGCTTCTGCTCCACATGGCATCTGGATTTTAGTGGTGGTCTCGTATGCCGAGCCGCAGCAACCCAACACCTCGTCGAGAAGTGCAGATATCTGGGCCGAAGCACAATATTCTATTAGCCGCTGAATAACTCTGCAGCCATAACCTGAGCAGTTGCAAACTGTCGTGGAGCCGACGCTAGAAGGGGGACTGAGCCAAGTAGCAGTGTTTGGCCATTCGAGAAGCCTGACCTTACTCACTATATGTCGTCGTCTCTCTGGTGCTGCTGAAGACCCACTCGAGTCTCTGAGTGCCATGCCAGCAAACGAATCGACGATGAAGCCGATCCGGTCGGTCGGCAGGCGTTCAATGCCTCGTCGGCAGAGCCGGAAGCTGCTACAACAACTGAGATTTAAAAAACAAAACAAGCTACACTTTGTGTGAAACGATTCGTGCGCCGAGCATCATTTTTGGATGACATGGTTGCCATGCTGATCTTCAATACATTTGATGACCTGGGCTGTGGGAAGAGGCTTGGTCTCCGGCAAGTGTCCTACAGAACCGGCAGGAATGCTCCAGTGCGACTGTGTGGCGTGACCCTTCAGCTCGCCAATCAAAAGCACCTGCTGTTCGATGGGAACCGAATCCAGCGCCTGCCAAGGCAGGTCAAGCAGCCCTGAGCGGCTTCCTCTCAGACTCGAAGGCTCAACTCAGGGCCTTCTGCACTACCCGGCACCTGCACTCCATGCACTGGCGATGTTGCGGCCCCACATTTTTTCCACTTCAGCCAAGTCACCCATACATTTGGAGCGAAAGCTTCAAGACTTGTCCCACCAGCTGCTCCGCGAGGATACGCCTCTGCTCAGAGTTTCCATACCTCAAAAATCGAGGCATTGGACATCTGGGCGATACATCAAAGCACACATCCGCAAACCTCACAGATTGCGTTGTGGACGCAGCAGCCGAAGCACTCAAAGAATTTCTGTATCACGTAGTTTCCGAAAACATCGGTCGTCAGCTGCGACATCCTCATTGAAACGCCATCAGCAACAAAGACTCAACGCTTTCAAAATTTTTATGCTGACAAGCATCTTTTGAAGCACCTGCTTGAAGGCAATTTGCTTCTGCTCGTCGCTCGCCACCTCGAGCTTTTGCTGTATCAGCCTCGCAGAACACGGGACTCGGACACGATGTGCTACAACAGGTTACCATAGGGTCGAGAAATCTCAGGAGGCAGCCTGGAGCCATACTGATCCTGGGCTATCTCGCTGATATGACCAGAAAGTTCCGCGAGATCAACCAGCCGTTCTCGTGCCTCGCTCTGAAACATCACATGGCTCTTCGAAGCATTTCCGACCGCTGTTGACTGCCGGGCTGCTTTCAAGTGCTCGATGAGCGGGCTGGTGGCCTGTGGCCGCAGCTTGTTAGCCATAGGATCCCCAGCCTGCTGACTGCGACATGGAGAGACTACAAACCTTCGACGTCGACGCGCGTGACGAGCCTACAGGGCAAGTTGCCTTGCCTCGACTTGCCCAGCACTTCGTCTCCGTCTGTCACCCTTTCCACCTGAACACAGCAAGAATGCAACAACAAGTGCAGGACTTCCAATGCGGAGCTGCAGAGAGAGAGAGAGAGAGAGAGAGAGAGAGCGAGCCGGCCTCCTTTGTCTGATGCCCTGTTCAAGCTAGCTGACCCCGGGGCGATGGCACCCGGTTCATGCTGCTGGGGCTGAGGAGCATGCTTGGGTTCTTTGTCTCTGCGTGCTTTCGTCTTCTTGCTGTCGACGGCTTGTGGTCGTGGCGGCTGGGGTCCAGGGGGTAGGGCTTGGCTAGGGCTCAGCACGTTCTCCTTGGACTCCCGTTCTGGCCGCTCGGGCTTTCGCGGCGCCGGCGGAGGCGGTGCCGATGGAGGGGCCGAAGTTGGAAGTCCGGAAGGTGTGCTTGCGGTGAGGGGGGAAATGGCAGGGAAGTTGTTGGCGCAGGGTCCAGGTGCTGTGAGTTGTTGCTGTGGCTGAGGTGGCTGCTGCGGCTGCACGGGCTGCTGCTGCGGCTGGCTCACCTTGGCCAAATTCGATCCAAGCACTTTTGCGCCAACCCTGTAACCGCATAAGGGATCTCGCAGCATATCTAACAAGCTCCGGCACCTGAAGGCCACTAGCTTGCTTGTGCGCGAGTCAAGGGACTGCGTTGGCATGCAGGTGCGGACAAGCTTTCGCTGTTTTCAGTTGCCCAAACTTCCCAAAGGACAGGAAAACCCACATCCCAGTTTCGTCCCGTGCTGTCGGGGCTTCCGTGCTTGTGCAACCGGTGACAGCCTCTGATTCGCTGGAGCTCCTGTTCGCGAAAGCGAGATGACGCACGGTTTCACCGTGCTTGCAGACCACGAGACTGCTGTGACTTGACTGCAGAACCCACAAGGTTCGCCTAGACTCCTACATACATTGGAGCACAAGTGCTGCTGTTCACACCACACATCGCTCTGGGGCAGGGACCTGTGGTGGTGGCTTGATGACACCTGCTGCAGCAGACGGGGTTCACGGAGTGGGACAGCATCACACAGCGACTTGCGATGTGCTTGGTTCTTCACAGTGAGGCCGTTAGACCGTGATTTCCGAACTCAGAATGCCGCAACGCCAAACGCACGTCCTTGCAAACGAGCCTCCAGGCTGGGTGGCCTGCTGCTGCTGTGCCATCATCATCATGGACAGCACGTTGGCATCAACAGGCACTTGTGCGCCAGACTTGCTGGATATTTCTGGCGTTCTTGCCGCTGCTGCAGGTTGCCCGGGTGCAGCTGGGCTGACTAGCATGTTGTAGTAAGGTGGGGGCTGGTTCAACCCCTGCCACAGAGTCTGCATAGGAGCATAGGACGAGAATCCGCTAGAGGATCCGGTGGGGCCTCCTGGTCCTGGGGGGCCTCCTGGTCCTGGTGCTGCAGGTGCACTGCTGTCTATGCGCTGCGGGGTGCCAAGAGGTGCGGGCGCACTCTTGGCTGGAGGGAGTCCGATGCCATCAGGCTCTCCAAAACTATTAATAACTCCTCCACCATACTGATAAACAGGCGAAGGTGTTCTTGTGGGAGTTCTGTGGGGAGCTTCGGACTCGATCCTTTGGTATGGAGCTCTGCCTCTGCTTTCATCTAAGCCTCCCAGGCCGCTGGTAAAAAACGGCGGGCAAGGCTCCAGCAAAGGGTTCCTGAGTGGATCTGAGATCCCTGGCCCTGGTCTGCTGGGCGCATGCGCATCTTCTTCAAGAAGGATGCTGCTCGCCAACTCCCCCTCGTAAGAACCATCGGTGGAGGGAAGCTGCATGTGCCGCTTCCCTGCACTCAACTTCTGTCGCACCAAACGCCTGCACGGCCATGCCCTTACACTGTTGGTGGAGCCGGAAGCTGCAGAGCGAGAAGCACATGCAGAAGCCTCTGCAAGGAAGTACGGGGTGCCCAAAATCACGAAACGTGGTTCAATGGCGGTCAGACTCCGTGACATTTTGTGAATTAATTACGGCATGGCTTTCAGACTTGAATGCCCGAGTGAGACTGTTTGTGGCGAGCGCAGTGAAACACCGGCCTGCAGTGAGAAACAAACGAGCTGTACTTCAGATGTGCTAGTAGTGGTATCTGCTGTATTGTAGCAGCCGAAGAGGTCGTGGGACCACTTTTGTCCGGAACCTCTAGCGCTCATGCCTGTGAGACTGAGTGAACGTGGCGCACCTCGTGCTTGCTATTGGCATGGCAGACTGACAGCATTTCAGCTAAGCTGAAGGAAATGGACAGTCTGTGCTACAGTGCAAACAGCGACGTGCTGAAATTCGGCGAAGATGTGAGCTCTGCTCAACCACATGGCCAGGCGAGCAAGCCAAGCGGCTAAGCTTCGTGAAAATCTAAATTGTCGTCCTCTTCATCGTAGCTGCCGGTGCCCCTACAGATGAAGTCAATGCTGAGTCCACTCTCAACCTGAACTCGAAACCTGCATTTATAGAGCTCGTTCTTCTTGGGTCTAAAGGAGATCTTCAGTCGCTGTGGATCGAAGCGCTCTTCGTCCGGAAATGCTGGTGCTCTTGGCAGTGCAGAGCTCTTGGCACACCAGTGAGGCAAGCGTTCTTCCGAACCAGGCACCAAGCCGTCTTTGGATGGGCCAGGAAGTTCACCACCACTGATATCAAACTCAAAAGCATCCTTGTCATCCAGTGCACGAAATTCCTCCTCTTCCGGCAAAGTAGCACCGATCACCGGTGCAGCCTTTCGTTTGCGACCGACATGTGCCAAAGACCATTTGGCCAGCGTGTTTGTGATGTTGGAGATAAGAATACATCGGAACCTCGTCACAGAGCTCTGCACATGCGTGTAGCCAAACTCCACGACCACAGGCACCGGCTCCGACCAAGGCGGCCTCTCGGCCCGCTCGAGCCGTATCGGGCGATCGAACTCGTTCGGCACAACATGCACTCGGACCGCAGGCCGCCTGGCAGTACCGACCAGATGGATCCTCTGGAGATCGTCCTTTGACTGCGACAGTAGGACTGCAGCAGCAGGGTTCGACATACCGGGATCTAGACATGACATGGTGGCGAAAGAAGTACATTGAATGGAAGGCACAGCACGAGGCTTACAAAGATTGTGGCATCGCGACCTCTCACCTCCGCGTGGGCGGCTTCAGGTCTGAGCCAGGCTAGCTTCGAGCAGCCCAAGATTTCCCAAGACGGCAAACTGTTCTGCCCGTCGACCGGCCAAGCCCTCCAACAAACTGCCACTTCTACCCGACTGGCTCCCGGGAGCCCACAGCAGACAGAAACGACTTCGGGGAGTTCTAGATGCCTGGCACATCCCGAAGAGCTGGCAGCCTGGCTCCACAGGCCGGGAGTGGAGAGATTTCATGCACGTCTTTGTGTCACGTGCCTGGACAAAAGATGATGCAGGTTCTGCTGATGGTGCGGGATGTCGCTGGTGGCTCTGCTGGTGGCGGCGGGGCGGTGGCATCGGCGGTGGTGGCGGTGCTGGTGGTGGTGAGGGGAGGCGGTGTCGTCGATAATGATTGTGATGGTCGCAGCGGTGTTGCTGCTATAAATGGCTATGAACCAATGTTGTGACAAGCATGCTGGGGATGATAACGATCATGACGCTAGTCGAGAAGAAGAGATCGAAAGAAGGAGATCGAGGCGGACGAGGAGAGGAGATGCTGGCCTTCACACTCCCTCACATCAGCGACAGGTGTGCAAACAGGAAGGTACCCGTTAAACGGACTTCTACACAGGGCCGTCCTTGTGCGTGTCGAGCTCACCGTCCGTATCCCGAGGGTACTCCACAATCAAATCGCCCCTGAAGACATGTTCGTGCTTGGTCAAGTAGTGCTCCCACTCAGACACTGGAATCTGCTCAGGGGTGAACATCACATGCAGTGTTACCGTCTCCCATCTCGACAGCACAAAAAGCTTTCGAATGTCCGATTGCTGCTCGTCCTTCTTCTTGGCCTTACTGCTGGAGCTGTCATTCAGCACTGGATGTGCGCCGCCCTGTTGTATGAGCTGAATCCTGAACGGGCCTTCAACCCGAAACTTGCATGTGATCTTTGCTGCATTGTGGTTGGAGAAGCTGATTTGGCGGACCAGGCATGAAGAAATGCCCGTGACCTGAGTGCCGCCGACTGCACCTCCATGCGAAGGACCCGTGGATGGCTGAGACCCCTGAGACACCGAGGACCATGTGAACTTAAACACCGGCGCATTGAGAACTGGAGGCTCCCGATCATCTCCGATGTCATCTTGCTCCTTGTTTTGTGCCGGGAACTCCTCGACTGCAGGGTTTCCCTTCTTGTCCACTGTCAACCTGGGCAAAACACAATCCCCCACGCAGTCGATCACAATCGTGGCCAGCACATCCAGATTTGGCTCCTGCGGACGAACAGCAACCTTCTGCAGCTTTGCAGGGGTTTTGGACATGCAAACGATACATGGATGCTGATGTGCGGTGGCCGTGCGCAGTGTAGTCAAGGCAGGGTTATATGCTGCATGGGGAGTTGAGTCCGAAGCTCAATAGTCAATATAGTGTAACTTAGACAGACTTAAGCGTGCCGCTTGTCTGTCGGGAACTTCCCTGGAAATGGCCGGGACCGGGAGGGGAAGGAACTTTGACAACAGTCTCCACGGCCAAAGGCTGTGGAGGTGGCGGCCCTGCACGATTGCGCTTGAAGCGCTTCGTCGCAACCTCGAGCGGCGCTGGCACCTCCGTGGAAGAGGTGCTCCAAACTGACAGTTCTGAGCTGGAGGCTCCGGCCTCGACCAAAGGCTCCTGGAGCAGCGCCTTGGGATCCACTTCGATGTCCGAGTCGTCATCCACGACCTCCCGTCCGTCCAGCTGGATGTCTGGCAGGTTCTCCACTTCAGCATCCTGGCTGAGGGCCACCTGGGGCTTTGCAGCTCTTTGCCGCTTGCCACCTACTGGTAAGCACTCCAACCCACTGCCTTAGCCAAGTTGCATAAGCTGTTTGGGGTGGCCGCTCGTCATACTCCTCGTCTGGATTGGCTTCAGCGAAGGCCAAGCGCTGCTCGCGATCAGCTGTGAAGCGACCTAACAATCGGCTCGTGCTGGCTTATGCTGCGAGGTTTGGGCGTGGCAAACGCACGGTCTCAGTGGGCTCCCAGGCATGGGCTCAACACTAGGAGACAAGCTGTCGCAGACCTCAGGATCATGTAAGCTGAAACAGTCCAAGTTACAGTCTCCTATCAGAGTGTACCGGTAGTTGCTTGCCGCTGTCAGGGTCGCTTTCAAGCACGTCATGGTCACGGTGAAGCTGGCAGTTCCGTGCTCTGGCACCTGTCCAATATCAACAGTCACCGTGGGAACACATGTCCAAGCAGAACTACTTGCAAGCACGGCACCACAGCTTCTACCGGCTCGATAACCACCGGCAGTTCATCTCCAGGTAGGGAGAACGGATCTTGAATTTGTGGAGGTTGCTGCGACCAAATTTTGAAGTTGAACGGCTCCTCTGGATCCAACTCCTCCTCTTCCTCCTCCACACCGCCATTCTCTATTTTCAGAGTTGGCACGTCCTGATCATGGTATGTGAAACTGCTCGACACAGCTGAACTGGCCTAGAATCTAGGCCCTAGAAACCTTGCATGTGCGTGATGGTTCGCACAACATCGAGGGTCCTTGTCTCCAAGTTCCTCAACGAAGGGGTCCTTTATAGCGGAGTTTCTGCCACATAGCCCCACGTGAATCATCGCTCGATCTTCTGCCATGTTCTCCAGCTTCAGTTTGGGGAAGATCTGACAAGCGGCGACGCCACATCAACATGAACCCGAGACATGCGACGCAGCAGCATTTGTCTCACAGGTTCAAAGCAGTCACGGTTCGTTTCTGCAGTGGCCCAAACTCCTCAACCTCCTCTGGTCTCGCGCAAGTGTTGTGCAGACGCTGTGTCCAGAGAACATCTGAAAGTCTGAGTGAGCCAATGATGGTTTTGAAATCTTGTCCGGATTCTGGTAGCCTGTGTCTGCGTTGTCTAAAGCTGCAGAGATGTGCAGCATTGAAACATGTCGGGAGGATACCAGACTGTACGGGCGGGCATGGCTGGGGAAACATGCTGACTTTGAATTCGGAATTGGCACGGACTGCAGCGCCGCAGTGGCGGTCGTTGCAACACAATTCGTTGAAAATCTAGAAACGCGGCAAGCCGCCCATCTGCCTTCCAGTTGACCACCACCCTCGCCGCAGAGTTGTTGCCCACTTTGAACCGCCTCATCAGCTGCTTCTCCGCCGGGACTGTCACACCGCACAGCAGCCTTCGAAGGAAGGGCGAAATGAAAGGGAAATCTTCGGACAGCGTCGGTTTCAGGCACTGCCGGGCCTGGGAGGAGCTGCCAAGGTGTTCAGGCCCACTTGCTGATCTGGAAGATACAAGGGATTCCCGTACCTCAGCTAGGCTTGGAAGGCTCTGCTTCAGAGAGAAGTCCATCAAATGTCCAAGCCGCGACTTCAAGCGTAATGGTATGCGAAAGTTCTCTCCCTCCGAGTGCCCGGGAAGCTCTCGAAGCGTGAGGATCAGCTCCTTTGTCAGTTGGGTTCTTCTTGATGATGCAAAGCACTGGCGGTTGACTTGCCCTGTTGCTTCCCGCCCTTGGGTCACAATACATTTCAGGAAATCCCATGGTTCAGTCTGGCGACGTCTTCCATGAGGCCAGGCAGATCACTGAAGGACGTCACAGTGATCACAGCCGTGCTGAAAGGCTGCAACCAATCGCTGGCTGGTGCTGCCTTCACCGCCTGGAAGGGATGTCGTGAGGAATTCCCAGACACAACAAACCTCCGATCTGTGCCAAGCAGCGAAGCCACGGCCGGCTCGGAGCGCCATCTGGAAGGATTCGCGCGATGATGAGACAGAGCAGCCCCCTCTTCTCAGCTTGCAAGAGGCGATAAGGCCGTGGCTCGGCCCTGCTCTTTCATCTCCTTCTGCTTGGCGAAATCCGCCCCGAAGCTGCTGCGGAAGGCCTCTGCTCTGCTCTGCTCTGGTCTGCGGCTGCAACCCAACGCGCGAGACGCGACCGCCTGGCCTGGCGCTCGTGCTTGTCGTCCAGAATCCACCTCTTCAGGGTCTCTCTCCGATTGCGACAAGAGAGGTCCTCCCGACATCTGACGAGAGCTCAGCTTATCGAAGCCTCTTCTTCTTGGTGCTCGTCTTCTTGGTCTTGTTCAAAGTGCTCCTGTTGACTCGAGGTCCAGAACCCGTTCTGTGCAACACAGTTGTGCGGCCGAGGCTCTTGAACTTCTTCGTTTTGATCCTTCTGCGGCTATGCACACGGAAATTGCTCTGAAACGCAGCGGCATCGAGCCTCCCCGGGTCGCTGTCATCGCGGCCGGCACCGGCAGGCTGCGGAGTGTTCTCAAAGCTCTGCTTCACCGTCTCCCCTGAGAAGACGGCACACGACTCATGTGCCACATTACAGTTCAGCTCTGCATAGCGCTGCCAAATCCGGTCCCTGGCCTAGATTTTCAGGCTCCGCTCCACCTCCAGCGACGGCATTCAGCTTTGCAGCGCACAGCGTGTCGCAGCATGGCATGTTCTGTTCTCTCCTGCCTGATTGGTTGATCAGCGCGTACATTCGAGTTGCTGCGTCGAGGTAATCGCCTATCTTCCGGCCCTTCACCAAAGGATCGAAGGCCGGATTCTTGTCGACTTTGACACCTTACAACAAAAAAGAGCACAAAAGAAACAAGCTGCTGCGAGCAATGCATGTGTGGCTGCTTCGCAATGTATTACGAGGCACTGTAAGGTGTCGCGATGCCCGTCCTGTTGTATAGCACCACCTGCATGACTTTGGCCCTTTGGAGCGGCAGCTCACCAAAGTCTACTGCTGGCATTCTTCTCGAAGCTTTCCCGCTGGTGATCATATACGTGCCACGTGGATCACATGGTGAATCGCCAGGCTGTCGTGGTTTGAGCTCTATTTCAGGAGGCAGATCTCCAGCTGAAACAACGGCATAGTCCACTTCGCAGCCGTAGACAACGGCAGTCACACGCAGCCTGCGGGTAAACCGCTCGGAGCGAGGCGCATCCAGAGAGAGGCACAAGATGCAAGGAGCAACCAAGCCACTCTAAAGGCTGAAGGATTTCTTCGATGAAGAGGTGGCATGGCAGAACGGCATGACCTCAAAGCAAGCACACAGTCCTTGAGGACAGCTCAGACTGGGGCAGCAATGAGTTTCTCACCATCATCTGGGATCTTCGTAGGCACCGCAATGATGGTGCATCTCCGGGTCTCTCTAGGTGGTATGGAGCCCTGGCACCGTGTGTGAGTCATAGGAGAGACGCGGTGCTGCCTGATGCATCGCGCCTGCGACGGATGGATTTGAGCCTCCAAGCCTGAACTCTCAGGCTTTGCAATCATGAAATGCATCTTGCGATGGAGATGGCAACCTGAACACTGGCTGCTGCTTGGTGGCAGCCATCCATCTTTAGCGGGACCTTCCATGAGAAGTTGGCGGGCATTTCGGACTCGTTGCGAAGCTCCACCTCCATGGGTTCGGATGCTGTCCTGCAGAAACGAGGTGTACTCAGAGAGCCTAGGCTTTCTTGCGGTCTTGTGTCTGTGGCGCAAACACTGAATGCACTCCTGAGATAAGTGACAGGGAAATGAGCCTTAGACAGTGTGCCGTAAGACGCGGGAGTTTTCGTCTTCACAGTCATGCAAAATTTGATGCATAACAGCCGGCAATGCTGACAAGACGCATGATGCGTGTTGATACGCACCAGCCTAAAGGCGGAGGATTAGTAAGAAACTCACCCGAGTTTCACATGCTTCACTGGAACTGGAGATGCTGAGGCCGAGCACGGCAGCTGTACAGATGCAAATACATCAAGACACTGGGCATGCAGAGAATTGAAGCCAACAGCCTTAGCTTCGTTGCCCCACCCTGCATCACCCAGCCACTGCCTAACACTTCGAGAAGAAAGATGCTTGCCTGTAACTTACTTCCGGCCTCCAACAGAGCCGTGTATTTTCCAACGCTTCGTGTCCGAAGCGTAACTTCGACCTCCAGAGGGTGTGGGCTAACAACGCCCCAGTCGATGCTCTGCCGGCCTCGCCGCTTTTGCCTGGCCAAAGTGCCAAATACCCGGGATGGAAAACGAAGTCCTGCAGATGTCGGCTTAAAGACTGGGCACGATGGGCAAAGTAGGAGGCCTTACGTGCTGACCCTCCGTCTCCCTTAAGTCCTCTGAGTCTGAAACGAACCTGCCAGCATCTAAGTCACCATCGTCGGAGCTCCTGCCATGGTCACAGCGAAAAGAACCTGACTGCGAGGAGTAAAAGTAGGAGTAAGAGTGGGAGTAGATGGCGGGAGGACTTTTTGCATGTTTTGGGCCGTCCTCGACTTTGCCCCGAACTTGCGGCGGCCACTTTGGTCAAGGCAGCCACTGCGCGAATGGACCCAAGGCTGCACGGCCGCCTCCCGGTACTGCTCGGACTCAATGGCCGCAGAGCCTTCCGCACTTCTCCGGTTCACGGCGTCCACGAATAGATTCACAACTTCCCGGTGCGACTCCACGGGAAACTCGTGATTGCGCTTGGTGTCCTGTGAAGTTGCAGCGACACACGGCGAAGCCGAGTATATTTAGTCTCTTTAGACTCTCGACTCTCGCCTTGATCACGGCAAGCAAGGAGTTACCACGACCGACCCCAAACCGCGGTCTCCTTCTCCGCAACAACTGCCCGACTACATATGCTTACATGCTGAGAGATGATCCAACAATCAAAATCTTGCGAGAAGCTCTCGGCCTTGAACTGTCGGAGTTGCAGCATCATCGGCAGTTGTGTGGGATTGCTTAGCACCACTTTCAGCGTGTGTCTCGAATGGGCTCGAACAACGCCGAAGTCCAACATGGATGTGCTCCTCATTTCAGCTCGTGGGGCTCGAACAGCGGCTGCGATTCCAACCTGCCACCGTGTCTGTTAGTGCACAAAACGAGGATTACTTCTGGTTCTTTCTCCCCATACTTTTCCATGCTCACTATGGCCACCATGGCCCATGTGATAGGACATGCCTCGGGCACTGCAAAGGGGGCCCGTGCCTTGAGAGCTGGCGCTGCCGGCTCACTGCTCTTCGCATCCAGTGGCAGATCAATGACGAGCTGCCCATCCAAGTCGCACTCATGCACAACTCGAAGGGTCACCCGAATCGTCACAGCACCACCAGGTGGAATACGGCCCTCGTGTGGCTCAACTGCGCATGATGCCAAGGCTCCGTAGCCAGGCAGCTGTGATGCTCCCGGGATTCCTGGCTCTGGTGGCAGTGGCGGCCACGACTGGGCCAGCCGGGCTGCTTGCAGTCTCATCTCTTCAAGCACAGGGTTTGCATGCGGAATCGGCTGAGGCTCCTCGGGTTTCATGCCAACTTCGGGCACGGAGACAATCCAAAGCGGATCAATTTTATTGGCATCAGCTGCATGGAGAGTCGATGTCAAGCGCACTCTGAAGTACGATGAGTTCGAGCCAGAGTTGTAGACCTTGATCTCGCGGACGCTGGGAACAAAAGGAAGCACGTCCCCTGGCAGAACGATCGCACGAGGCATTGCCGAAATGGTTGGCCCCACAGTCTGGCCCTGCAGGCAAACAGCTGTAATGACTCGGCTGACGGCGCAATCCTTCAGGGGTTGGGATGGTCTGGCATGTACTGCGGGGAGGTCGCAAACCAAGCCCTTTCATTTCATTTAAAGCCAGGGCAAAGTGAGATGAAAGACTTCTTGACTTGAGGCGAAACCCCGGCCTTTGGATCTGCTACCTTAACGTCCAGTGGGTCGGTTGAGCCAGTGCTCTTCAGCTTCTTGTCGAAGGGTTGACTGACAATGCCTCCGAAAAGGGGGAGATGCTTGGAGTACGCGTCATTCTCTGGCCGCATCTCATCCTGCAGCTCCACCAGCTGGTTGTAGTGCAGCAGACAGGCCATGCTGTCAGGCAAATCGCGCGCTACCAGATATGCGAAAACTGCGGACTGTGACCCCACAGGTCCGAATGCCTCGAAAGTAAAAGTGAAGGTACTTGTGGTAAACGGTTCAATGGTTACTGATGCCGGCTCCACCCTGAATGGACAGGCAGCTGTCAAGTGGCTGCCGGGCAGATGCACCCTCCAGTCGTGGATTTCGTTGATCAGCTTGTCGGTCAAGCGGTTGATGGAACCCACGGCTAGCCGAGCCAAGATCTGACGTGGCGGCTGGGAAAGAGCCCATTCGACTCTCATCGGCATGAAACCACCATTTGAAATCTGTATGGACTGCTTGGTCTTGTGCCCAACCTGCGTACCAGGCCGCATCCAATTAAGTTGCCACGGGACGAGTTGCCAAGCGCAGCTACCCTCTTCGATTGCCGCGGGAGGCAACTCTTCGTTGAGGGTGGGCCATCTGCAAAGCTCCAGGCGGACCGCGTCACACACAGCGACTAAGCTGAGTGGCGTCTTTACACCGTTGTCCCCTTCAACGAACAAGGGACACCTGTGATGTCCGACTTTGTCAGCTTCAAAACGCACGCTCAAGTCCGTGAAGGAGTTAGCGTCCAAGTAGAAGGAGGCCGGGGAGATACGAAATGACCCTACAACAAGCGTCAAGTCGGTCCCGGGGTAGGATTCATAACCTGGGCACTGGTTAAGGAAGATTGGAGTCGCCATAGAAAGCAATTCATATTCATCCCTATAGATCCCTACTATGGTAACTAAAGATACATAATATCCCCGATGACTACTGCCCATGTAGGTTTCGTATGCCATATTATACACACAATCCTTTAAAGAATCCTGTGCCCATTCTTAAATCACCTTTTCTGTTTCGGGCTCTATATACGGGCGTAGGGTTTGATGTTGGCTTAATTATATCCGTGTTTACCCCGTTCCTTGGGGCTTTGTATTGTGTTACAGCTACAAGGGTTCGAACAGACAGGAATAATATGCACGAATCCGATATTTTGCTACCGGATTGAAACCCTAAAAACAGCCTGTATGCTCCAGAGTTCTTTAGATATGTCTATATATATATATATATATATATATTTATATTTATATATAGTATATCTATATATTCTCAACAAGAACCCAGCAGCAATAATCCTCTGGCGGCTCCTCCTCACTGACAATCAAGCGGAAGGCACCTTCGCCTCCAAGGTTTCGTATTCTGACAGGCTCCGTGATGTTGTTTCCTGCAGGGCTGTCTCGACCATACCCTGTGATTTTCTTGCTTTTCTTCTTAGGAATACTTCAGCATCGATAACAGATATTATCATCGCCATCATTGGTAGTATTACCATTATTGCCACTACCGCCATCGTTATTGATTATTATGACTATTGTTATTTATTATCATTGGTGCTGAGATTACTCTGATTCTGATTGCCATTCGTATCTACCAGGATCTTCGAGGTATACATACATCTTGGTGATAAGGCAAGATTTGGCTCCACTCGGAGCCGGGAGAGCTGTGCCTGCCAGCATGCATCCGCAATTGACAGGCTCGTCGATCTTCAGCTTTGGCTGATCTCTCCTTGCCAATAGAGGCAGTTGGTAGTCCCCGATCTCTGTACAGACGGTCAGAAACTCTGTCTCGTCATTGAGAGTGTTCGGCGCGAAAGACCTCGGAAGTTGAGCAAACAAGCCGCTTTCCCCCAGCCGTGGCAGCCTACGCATGGCTGAGCTCTAAGCACCGTGAGGTGGGCAGCCATCCCCGGCGCAACCACCGCCGCCAAAGGATCGAGCCCGACCAGCTCGGGCCGCTCCGCATTCAGCTCCTCGACACACGCAAGATGGCGCAGGTCACGATACCCGCTGACCGCACTCTTCCCATGTCCTTGTCGTAACGGAGTTCCTTAACGGAAAACGCGGTGTTGTTGCAGGGGAGAACTCGCAAGCGTCGACTGATCCCAGTGGAGTTGCGGAAGTCCACCTGCCAGCATTCGCAAGTGCGCAAGGGAAGCGTACAGTACTATCACAGAACCAAACAGTCATTTTGGCAATCATGAAAAGGCTGCTCTGAGAAAGGCCTGGATCTGATAAAGGCCGCCGATTTCATAATTTCGAAACAAGATCGATTCTGGTGTGAACCTACCCGCAACAACACACATTTCCAAAACAGCTTCAAGAAAGACCAGCCATAATCTGAGCTCCGTGCCAAAAGGGGCAGGGCTCGCCCCTGTCCTTCCCTTGCCGATCTGCCAGAAATCGAGGATTCTTCAGGAAGTTGACCTCCGGCTCTGCTGAGCGTAAGCTAAGCATAGCAAAGCTACAGGGCACTTCTGGGAAACCTGCCTTCATCTGCATCCTCTTGACAATCTCCCGATTCTTGGCCTTCTGGTCGGCATTGAGTCCAGCTGGCATACGAGGTCTCTTCCGTAACCTCTCCTGCACAAAAAACGAGCAGTGGCCCACCGGGCCACAATTCAACCAACTTCCCCCCTAAACCCTTTTTTTTGAACGAGGTCTCTCTGAAGTGCCTCTAACAGTATGGTTTCCTAAACCCTAAACCCTAAACCCTCCAATTCTGGCTACGGAAGCGGCCTGCAAGTCAGCTGTGATCAGATTCTTCTGCTCTTCTGTGAGGGTGGCTTTAACCTGCGGGATGCCGGCATACGACCGTGCACCTACTTGGGGAGCTGTCACTTCAGCTGTCCTGCTTGGTCTCTGCACGCAGCTGGAGGGACTTCGTCATCTTAAAATGATTGGGCTCCTGGAAGGATCGAACGACCACAAGACACTGGTTCTTTTCTGCTCTGCCTGCTACTTCCAACAATCGTGCAGCTGCTACTAGTAAGAGTACCATTACGCCGTAAATCATTACGTACGAGTAGCTGGCCTCGGGCTTGGAGATCGCCAAGAGGTTGTCGTGCTGAGGGATCTGTCCTTTCTTGATCTCATAGAAGCGCTCCATGTCTTCCATCATGCTACGCCTCAGTCGCTTGGGAGAGCTCTTGCTGCACGCTTGCGAGGTCCTGGGGCTCCCGCGGTACGATGAGACCTTCCCTCACCATCTCATCAGGGTCGACTCTGTGCTTCAACTTGCCTGTGCTGGGCTGCCGTTGGCTGGAGTATCGGAGTATCCAATCAAATTTCCAGCGTTTCTCGCGTGATCGTGCTGCGATTGATGCAGGCTAAGTCTGAGTGATGAGAACGAGCTGCTTTCCGGCACAGGCAGTTGCTCGCGCATTACCAGGCCCCAGCGCTGCAGCAGCTCTGCTGCTTCCTGAAGCCATGCCATCAGGGCTCGGACGGCTCAGACTACAGAAGGGCGGAAGCCGAGGCCGAGCATCGAGCATGGATTGCTGTCCAAGAATCGTCCTGGTCGCCTTCCCGCGCTGCCTGCCTAATCGTGCGAAGCAGTTCCTGCACGCGATCCACGTGATCGCCATCAGCCAGGACTTTGTCCCCAATGGCCTTGATCTGTTCAGCTTCCTTCGCACCAGCTGAAGGTATGCTGTCTAAGCTAGCATGGGGCAGTGCAGAGTCACGGGTTGGGTTGTCCTTGTTGAGATTGATCTCGGAATCTACGGCACTGGCGGATGTCTTTGCACCTTGGGTTCTCATAACCTGTTGGGCTCCCTGGAATCGAGTATGCTGGGCAGCCAGTAGGGTGCCAGGCGCGTTTCCCCTTTGCTTGAAACACTGAGTCGCCCAAACCCTGGAAGCACAGCCCTTATAGTTATCAGGCTTGCATTGTACAGTAGCATCTTTTTGCCTTTTCCAAACTGCAAGCACCAAGTCACCAAGTGCTGGAAACAGGGCTATGACCAGCTGGCTGACAAACCGCAACTTCTGAGTGACTGGTTCGCTTGCTTCACATCTGAGGTTGACACCGGCTTCTGCCTCTTCCTCCTTATCCTCTGCTGGATCTGCTGAGGCAGTTGATGTGCCAGTGTAGAGCTCTTTGAAGACATCTTCGTAAACGAAACCAACCTCAGCACGAACCAACTCCAGCCTAAACGTCTCATCATCTCAACGTGTAATTCCTATGGGTAATACTGTCATACATATGCCCACAGCATGATCATGGCAAGACGCATAGCCCTTCGGGTGGTCGCGTGCAGTCGGCCGATCCTCCGGTTGTGGATCAGGTGACACATCGGCATCCGACATGGGGGTTCCTGCGGAACGCCGGTGAAAAATACCAACAGGGACGAACCCTTTGAGCCAAATGCGTTTACGAGCTCGATTTGGGCAGCCAAACTTTTGAACGGCCCCCAAAGAAAACGAGGAAGCCCAACATTCGTGGATATTGCAGCATATCTGCGGTAGGACAAGGTCCTAGACTTCATCGAAGCTGTTTGAAACGGCCTATGCCATATGTCGGGAGAACTGGACGGAGCTTGGTGACACTTCGCTTCTGCAAGATAGTGTTCTCGTGGCTGTGTAAATTCCACTACAGGTACGCAGTCGTTGGCGAGGCTACAGCTACGTTGCTTTCGGGCTTCACGACTGCGCAGACTTTTCCAAACACCATCCCCGGTCAGCTGAGGCTTCAATGGTGAAGTGACTCGAGGCACACTTCAGGCGGACCAGCAAGACGAAAGGCAACTTAGTTTGATCACAGGCTTGCATGCAGCCGGGGTCAATCTAGCTGAAGCCATGCATCCCTGCAGCCGAGGCACCGTTTCTCCCAGGTCAGGTTCCCATATCGAAGGGACTATGGCATAGCTTCCCGGACCAGTGAGGCGAGTCTTCAGAGAAACTGATCTTCTCCGGCTCAGGAGGCTTGCAGCGCTGACCGCGTTGTGGCGCACAATTCGCTTCTTGTCGAAGACTGTCAATCGCTCGTCGGGATCGTTTAGCCGCATGACACACACGAAAATCTGTCGCAACTTCTCCTCGAATGGAAAGGAAGAATAACGTGAGTCGGACAGCAGCCGTGCGTCTTGCTGATGAAGGGTGACGCACAACTCGGCATCTGTATCATGAAGGGTGATTCGACACTGTGGGTTGCGACCCCAACTTTCCGGAGTTGCAAGGACGGGCTGTATCACTGGAATTGGCGTACCACCACAGGTGTCGTGCTTCCATTGACCCTGCAATCGCCGTGTCTGCCAGTCATCCTCATTAAGAAACGACTGCTGCAGGAGTACGTGGCTGAAGACTTGCAGCCAGTCTTGGAATCCCATGATGCAAGTTCCATCATGGAACTCGGCCGGATCACGGTTGAAGTGCTGCAACGGCATCTGCGGGCGCAGGACGGGCCTCTGCGCAACAGACGCGCCGCCAGCTCGGAGCCCACAAGCTGGCAGAAACTCTGCAAAGTCTTCGATTTGCAGTTGCTCGACGATGTCTCCAGCTTGACTCCATGTCGAATCCTGGTCACTCCATGCTCCACACCAACGACCAGAAGTGAAAGATCTCAGGCGCGCGAGGTGCAAGCTTTCAGACTCTGACTCCACCTCGCGCAGTGTTAGCAAAGGGTATGGCCAGTTCCGATGCACCCCAGTGCAGAAAGGGCCTGCTTCCTTCTTGTCAAGGTCCAGTAAACGTGGGTCAACTTGGACCATCTCCGACAAGTTGCTGCCCGAATCCGCCCGCAAGCAAAGCAACGAGGCCCCGCTGGTCATTTCCTGCAAAAGCATCTGCCAAAGTTCACCGGGATCCTTGTCGGCCGGCAGGACCGGTTCATCCACGGCGCCATCGGCATCCAACTTGGCTGCAAACTTTGAGGTTTGGATTTTTTCCGTCGGCCAAGAGGTCAAGTCCTCTAAAGCATCGTCCACAAAACCCAGTGACAGCGCAAAATAGGAGCCATGAAGCTTTGCATATGCCTTTTCTATCAATGCGGCCCAGATTTGTGGCACCTTGTCCAAACCATGGGTTCGGCTGAAGAGTGGCTCCTTCTGTCGAAACGGAAGCCGGTCGTCGACTAGGACGTAAAACCAGGAGCCATGCTTCGAGAAGCGGAAGCAGTAGATGCCACGCCTTCGGAATTCTGGGTCCCAGAAAAGCCGGGGGTAGACGCCCAAAGGCTCCTGGTGCCCGGACGGGTCTCCAAACAGCGCGTGCTCCCGCAAGGACAAGGAGCAAAGTGCCCCCAGAAACCACGCGTCGCCAAAGCTACCCAGCTTCACCTCGGCCAGCTCACCACAAAAGGAATGGGATTCCCAAACCTCACTGGGCCTCGACCATACCACGTCCCTGAAAGATGGCGCCGAGCTTGGCAAGGCGGCGGCATCGTGCACTCCAGGTCCGAAATTAGGATCCGCGTACAAAGTCTCGGAAAGCCCATCCTTTAGCCTCTCCATTTCTTTCAGCGCCTCCTTCATGGACGTGAAAATGCCCGACCCCGTCTTCACTTGAAGACCCTGCCCCCCTCCACCTTCATCAGGCAGTAAATCCGCAGCTGCCTGTGGCAACTCCTCAAAGGCCTTTGTTAAAGAATCTCGCGGTTGCTCCGGCAGCGACCGTCGACCTCGGCCTTGAAGCGACGGAGTTGAAGTGGAGGCCGAAGCCGCCGGAGCCGCAGGAGCTGCAGCTCGCTTGGGCTTAGGCTGGGATTGTGCCCGTCCCCGGGAGGTTCCCAAACTTGCCGGTGTGGCCTTCGCTTTGGCCTCGCGTTCGGCCCGCGCCTCGGCTCGCACCCCTGCCCTCACTTCAGCGGAGAGGGGTCGGCCAAGAGCGCGACTGGGGCCTGCCGCATGAGACAACGGACTGCTTCCCTGAACCTGTCCTCGCTGAGGAGGTGCCTCAGGCGCTGCCTGAGGCTTCAACTCCTCCGTTGTTCGTGGTGCCGGTCCGGACGGATCCGTCGGCCTTTGTGCTGGCTCATCTTGCTCTGCTGGCTCTTCTTTTGCTAATGCTCCTCTGGACCAAGTGCCACTGGCGCTGGCCTGGGTTACAACAGGTCTTGGCGCGGACTCACCGCGGCGCTTACCACCATCCTGCACATAGTTTTGGAGGAGTGCGCGCAAAAAGTTCTTGAAGTGAGACAAAGCCATCTGATGCATATCAGGATCACAATACTCCGTCCAGACGCTGTAGAGCTCAGTTGATGAAACGGACTGGCCTGCAGACTGGAGTATGCCCTGAACCATGGGAGCGACTTTGCGCAGCGTAACAACGCCCTGATCTGAGTGGTTGTTGAACGTGCGTTCGCACAGAAAATCAAACATTGGCTCATCTTGGAGGAGGCGTTGGATCTCTGAAGCCAATGGAGCCCCTGAGTCCATCAAGGAACCCTGGAACGCAGGCTCGGCAAAGGGCCTGTGTCATGCTGGCATTTTTGGACCAGAGAGCTTTTTGGCGCAGTACATCCAAATCCAAAGCTTCGACTGATCCCAAACCCTCCTGAATGAAGAAACCACTTTCAAACTCGTTCTGAAACCACCCAAGTCAACATCCAATACGAGCCGTGGTTTGCACAAGGGGGGCTTGCTTGCTTGGCGGAGTGTTAATTAAGGTTCAGGGCACCAGCAGTTTCAAAAGAGCCGTGCGGGATTGAAGGCAGAGGATCTTGAACATCGTGGTCTTTCCGAGGCCAGGTGACAGCGTCAAACCCATGCTTTTTGCGTGCTGCACCTCTTGCACAGCAAGTTGCGAGCCAATAATCTGTGCACCCCTCTTTCTGCAAGCGACGGCACGACCATGCTCGAATCAGACGGTTTGCACCACTTCGCGGGCACCCCGCCACTTCCGATCACAGCATCTTCACCCCGCGGCCGTGATCCATGCTGCTGTGCGTCCGCTGCCAGCAAACCTGGAACACACTGTTTCAGCCCGCGGCACGATCCGTCTTCTTGATGTGACCAGCTTGCGTCTGAGTACATTCAATCCTTATCTTTAGCGGTTCGGCAGGGCACTATCTATGATCGTTACGGTCATGGCGGCCTTTGCTACATTTGATCGAGTAGCAGACTCACCAAATAGCGGACTTTCAGGTGAATACCGATAACCTCAGACCCACCGCACTCGATGCGGGGACAAGGTTGGATTTTGGCTGCGCTATTGAGCACCATGCCCTTGACGTGCTTTCAGTGGCAAGTTGCATCTCCCTTTGTAACAGGCCCACGCAGACTCATCAGACCGGTGACGAGCCTCAACACGAAAGGGAGGTCTGGGAAGGCTCAAGTTGCCGCATGCCGCATGCTGCCGCGGGGCTCGTCCACGCTTAACTCTCCACCTGCATCGGCGTCCAGCACATCAAAGAGACCAACCCTGCCAGACGCGTCAATGCTCGCCTGCATGCGACAGTGTACAAATGTCGACAGCAGCCGAAGTCGGCTCCAGTGATGCGAGGCTGCCGCGACCCGGCCTCATCCAGCACGCGAACGAAGTCGACGTCCTCGAACCAGGAGGCAAACTCCTCCCGCGAGATGTTCCGGCCTCCAGCCTCAGCAAGGATCTCAAAGCACTCAGATTCGGCAATGGCAAAGTCGGCAGCAAAGAAAATCAGGACGGGCTGCCTGCAATACCCAGTCCATCCCTTCTGATCGCGTCTTCAAATCATCGGATTCATGGTGACTGTGCCTCTTCAAGCCAAGCTTGCGAATGATGCGGTCCTTGCCACAAAGCACCATGTATGGTGCATGTGTGCTGCTTCCCGCTTGCTGCCTTAACTTTGCGAGGCAACCATGGCAGTTTCAGCTCAACGCTTTCCTTGATGTTCAGCTCCATCTGAAGAGCCGTTTCGGAGATCTCGTTCTGTTTCCGAGTGAACTGCGAGCTCATGACGTTCCTGAGGTCCACCCAGGAAACATCACATCAATCTATCATGGACATTCATGGACTGGAGTCTTCATCACTCCCCCAGCGGGCATGATTTCGAACTAAGATGCTCAATAAAGACGGCCATAATCAAGTTGAAGACCCCCACGGTAATCAGCATGATGATGAATATGTACCCAATCTTATCAGGTTCTCAGGCCAACATTCCCCTTTACGTAGGGCGCTCACGTCACGGCTCAGGCACGCACCATGAAGACAGGACCATACTCAGCACGCAGTCTTTCAGAGAGAGGTGTCCCATCAAGCGCTGTGCATCCATCTGTGAAGCATCTGAAGCCTTAGCAGCATTAAGAGATGCAGTGGCCGCTGCAAACAAAACTCTCCGAGGGCAGAAGCGCGTGGGCTAACTCTTCACGATCGGCTTTGACATGGCATGCCCAACCGGTCACACATGCTCTTCGGGCTCTGGGGATTGGACAAGTGAACATGGAAGCCAAGACTGTCCTGAACTCCTGCAGAGGACTCTTGTGGCAAGGTCTTACACACGAAGGCGACATCCGACAGCCTGTTGCTCGGGATCATCACCAAGAAAGCTGCCTTGGGCACCCAAACAATAGCAGCACATGCCACAAGCATCGATATGGCGGATCTTGCTTCTTGCAATCCAGCTGCGCAGCACAACCCCGATGGCATAAATCACGGCGATGAGCAACACGATCGCCCAACCGATCACGCGTAGACCAGAAAATACGCCCAGCACAATCCTGAAAACCAAAGCCAGCAGGTTTGTTTGCATGCCGCTTATATGCATTCGTTCTGCTTGCCGAGGCACAACTTCAATTCTTTGAATGCCCTGAATCGCAACGCCCGAATCAACCGTGCGAGGCGTGCCAAACGAAATATCTTCACCAGGGCCAAATTGGAAAAAGCCTGCGCCCGACAAGAGTTCGCAGACTTCACACGCACAGCAGCACCCGCCTCCGGTGCGTCTGCGCCGACGCGCCCTTCCAATGCAAGCACCGTGGTGAGAATCAAATCCACCTCTGTATGTGCTTCAAAAGCATTTCTGCTGCATTGCAAGGCGTATGTCCACGCATGGCCACGTTGGCCATCTCACGCCATCTGTGTCGTGTGTCGGCTTTCACCAAGCCATCCAAACATCCACCATGATTAAGGCAAGTCGCATACATCATCGCCAAGCAAAGCCAATCGAAATAGTTCCACATACGCTCTGGCCCACACCAATACCAATGGCATCCATAAGTTCGGACCTAATTGAATCAAAGGCACGGTTGGAGTGCGTAACAAGAGCATCAATTGCAGATCTTTCGACCTTGACGACAAACTCCAGCGAATAGAACACTACCTGACAAGTTACAACAAGAATAACGCACGAAAAACCACAGTTGCAAATGTAGGGGCCTACTTTTTTTGTCCATGCCCCTTTTTGCGACCGCCTGTACTGGCGAGCTTGGCTATTGCACTATAATATTGCACTTACACCGAGCCGGCAGTTCGTGATCCTGATTGCCGAACGCCTTGGCCCAGCTTGGTTTCTGCTAAGCACCTGCAAGACAACGCAACACAACCACGATCTAACTGCTTGCAACGGTTTCGGGACTGTTTACGCTCTCACCACTCGGGCGAGCCAGGTTGAATAACTCCTGGTTGGCCAACATCGTCTGTGGCATGCTGGTGGTGGACTAACATGTCTGTAGGGGACAAGCAAGTGTTTGCGGCTTGTGGCGGCAGTCGAGCGTGAATTACTCTGCTCCGTGCTGATCATGGCGACAGCTGGTTTTGCAGTTCCACCAAAGTGCGGCGGCGGGTTGCAGACAGTATGCGCTTTGTCAATTAACTAGCCAAGGCACGAACAAGTATTCCAAAATCTGCCAAACAATGTGCCCACCTCAGAGTCTACGAGTCATTGCTATGAATGATTATGAGTTATGATTGTCTAAACTGTAAACCACTGTAAACATTTCGCCGTCATCTGTTGCAGGTCGTTGCTAACATGTTGAGTCACAAGGCCGCTAAGCCACGGTGAAAATCGAGGCTGATTCCTATGGCCAAAACGTTCAGGATGATAACCACGGCGGGCAAGAAATTGAACCAGGCCGCGACGCAATCCAACCTGCTTGGACCAAATGTACATGATACGGATACATGACGTATCGACCAACGTCAGGATAATCACCAGAGGCCGGAGCTTCATGTCTTGCGCCGATTCCATGGATCTGGTGGTTCCAAGTGGCAAACCCTCCGATACTTCGCCCGCAGGTTCAGGGCCTGAGCTCAGGTGCTGCAATCTCCTAATTCTCTAGAAGCCAAGGATACCACCAGACCACATCACGATGTCCACACTCTGCTGATAAACTTGTTGCGAGCAAGATGCTGTCCAAAGATTGGTCATGCACGCGGCATGCATCGTCTGTGGACATATCGAAATCTGCCACGACCTTACAGTTCGGTTTATCGTGTATAAATCGCGACATGGAACATTGTGCGAACAAAGGCTGTTACGGTAATTGGTTCGTCACAAGACCGTGGTACAACGATTCTTGACTCAAGGCGGCCGTCGGTTTCAGATACGTGACGCCAAACCAAGGCGTCATGATGATGGGAAGAAGTGACAGGCAGAATTTGGCAGAACGACCGACGTCTCCTCCCGCCAAAAAAGGTTTGCCGTCGTGCCGCTCCTTTTCAAGTTTGTTTGTTTTTGTTTTCCCCCGTGCCACTTTCCATCTGCGGCAAGTGGTTCATTCGCGAAAACCCACTGCAGCCTACGGCGAGCCTCATGCAGCGCATGAGGTTGGCACCGGCAAATGGCTGGTCGTCAACGGGACGGTGCCCCGCGCAGCCGCAAGGATTTCGTGCAGATCCGGCGCCTTAGCGGGCAGAAGCTCAAGCAGGGAAGCAGCGTAGGCACACATCGTGGCTAAAGCGAGCATTCCGGACCACCTCTGTCACCCAGCCGCTGCGACGCCGGCAGACGCAGAACTGTTTCGGTGCTGAAGCACCCACCAACCTCGATCCCGATTACGGCGAGCCGCGCACGTCTGGCGCCCTGGAGCTCGGGATAGGTTTGTCGCCGTTGGCGTCTGGCTGCGTCTTGCACGGCGGCCACGCGGCGACTGTCCGGGCCAGGTCACGCGGAGCCGGTTCGGGTGACCGGGCTGACGATCGCAGCGTCGATCGCGAGCTGGGCGTTATGCCACATGACGACTACCTCAATGCGACGCGCATCACTGACAGGCACATGGATGATGATTTCGGCAACCCGAACGTTCCGCGCTACTTGTGCTCCGGCCTCGCGACACACGCGAGCAACTGGACGTGGCAAACGCTGAATTAGTTTATGGGTCTGTGGCCGGAGCATGTGGGGAGCGCAGGGCACGGGGCCCGAGGTTCCGGAGCAGCAGCATGCGGAGGTGCGCCGACGAATGGACGCGGTGAAGGCACGGGCCGCATGAGGTCTTGCTTGCGAGCAGCGCTCGAGGTCGAGTTGGGAAAGGTGGGTCGTCACAAGCGGACGAAGCGGCAGCGCATTGCCATCCACGTGCGGTTCCTTCTGCGGCCTGTGGAGTGTGGAAGCCTGCCTGTCGTACCCCGGCGGCGGCCGAGCACGGCGCTGCGAGGGCAGGGAGCTGCTCGGCTTCGGCAGGAAGGCGCGAAAGCAGCGCGAGGAGGGAGTCCTGCCAAGAGGCCCAATGCGCGGCTTGCGCTCCGGCTGCGGCGGACCGCAGACAAAGCCCTCCGTAGCCGAGCAGAGCAAGTGCTGTCGAACATGCGTGAGAAAGGCCTAGCTCAAGCCCTCGGGTATCCGTGGGCACTCGCACCCCCCTTCATCGCGAGGGCGGTGGCGTGGCGGGCCTACCGCTCCGGAATCAGATGGTGATCCCAGCAGTGAAGGCACACAAGCATTTCCCTGCCCCATCCTCGTAAGTCCGGGCAGTCGTGCAATGCATGCGGCATATAGTGCCACCACGTAGAAGTGGTGCCGGTCCTCGTCCCTGGTCCCTATCACCATCTTGCCCCAACACGTGAGGCAAAGCGCTCGGCGATGACTCTGTCGCAGACAGCGACGCGAGGCCGATGCAGTTGCGTAACAGATGCACTGTGCGGCGAGTGGGGCGTAGTACAGCTCTCCAAACTCGCTCTGGGGAACGGGATGTAGATGCGTGCCGTTCCGCAATCGTCGTCTGCCCCCGCATCCCCATCGTGAGGTTCGGGCTCAGGTGCTGGTGGGCGGAGGTCGCGCGGCGGTGCCGCCCACGCCGGTTCGCGCAAGAGCTCTTCCACAGCCACCGGCGGTGCGCCGGTCTGTCGGGCCGGCCGCTCCGCAAATGCCGTCCTTTTCCTTTGGCTCGCTTGTCGGCTCAGACGGTTCCTCTTCCGGCTGTCGGTGCATGCTTGGGATGGTTAGGGGTTTGGTTGTGGGTTTGGTTGGTTCCGGTAGTCTGCTGCACTGGGACCGCGCCCGGATGCTTGCAAAAAGGTGCATGAAAAAAAAACACACAGACGGGGCCGGCAGACTGCACGAAGGTAGCGGGGAAAAGCGTTGAAAGGGCCTGTAGCAGCTGAACAGAGGCGGGAGCACGGCGGGCAGCGGCGGCGCACAAAGCCCTCGTGCAGGCACTGGCACTATCGGGGAATACTTTCGACAAATCAGGGTCCGGGCACGAGCAGCGGAAGGGGAAACCTTCACGTCGGGGCAGGTAAAGCGGCTCTTGTGAATCCTTCCTTGACCTTGTCTACCCACCTTTAGTGGAAGGTCTGCGCCCAGCCAGGGCCATCCTTCTTGAGCACGGGAGTACAAGCGTCCAGCTTCCATAAGGGAAAAGAGCGGCACCATCAAGGTTGGCGGTGTTGGAGATGGGAAGGGACAGCAAGCTGGCAGCAAAGGAGCGTGCGGCAGCTATGGAGAGAAGCCCAGACCACCGGGTGACAAAGGCGGCCACTCACGCAGCGCGCGGGGGCACGGCGGCACTGCGCGCCCGCGCCCGCGCCAGCAAGCGGATGAATGTGGCAGCTTCGACTTCGACGCTCCAGCGACCGGGTAGGCATGCTCTTTGGCCCGGCGTGCTTCGGCCAACGCTGCTCCAGCGGTGGCGCCGGGGCACACCGGCAGAAGTAAGTGGCGAGACCAGTGTAGTGTCAACGGCAAGTTGCAACGGCAGGCCATTGGCTATCATGTCGATGCGGCGCTCATCATGCCTGTGTGCCTGGAAGTTCAGGTCTCGCACCAGGACGTGTGTGGCGACAGCGGCACCAGCCTCACGGCAGACCCGGGCAGCTGAACGTTCCAGCGGCCCACACCGTGCCCTGAGAACACCAGACCGAGGGCAGGCAGCGACGTGGTCACCCAAAGGATCAAGCGGACGCCCACAGCGGCATCGCGCAGGAGCAAGTGGCAGAGGGAGCCGCAAGCGACGGAGAAGCAGGACCCGGAAGAGCGCAGAGTCGAGGGCGAGCTCCGGGGGCAACAGTGCGAACAGTGAGCAACCTGGCGTCAAAGAGTGCGAGCTCCGCAGGTCCGACGGCGCGGCGGTGCTCGGCAAAGGCACGATCATCGAGGACGCGAGAAGCAGAGCGTTGCCAGCCCCGATTTTTTTCACGCCTTTTTACCAGCGTCCCAGGCTAGAGGCGGTCCCAGTGCAGGCCCAGACCGGGCCGACTGCGCGCGACATTATTCAGGGCAGGCGTCCAAGGCGGAGTCTGCAAGGATGTCGCTCAGCAGCGCGGATACGCCGTCGACATTTGCCGTGCCGCCGAGGGGCAGGGAGAGCAGGCTTGCAGCGAAGGCGCGGGCAGCCGCAAAGGATAGCACGGCTGACCAGCGAGAGGCGAAGGCTGAAATGCTGGGGCCGCGAGAGGAGGCAGGCGCGGCCCGCGCACGGAGGCGTGCAAGAAGCTTGACCCCGATAGGGGACATCGGGGCCGCGGAACCGCAAAACCAGCCTCAGCAAGGGTGTCGGAGGCCTGCGCTAGATCATGCACAGGGGGCGATCGTCAAGGGCTTGCACCAGGGAAGTGACAAGCGGTGCGTCTCGGACACGAAAGACGGCAACGGCGTCAGCCCAGGACGCCCAGTAAGCTTCAGGCGCGCAGGCTGCAGTATGCAACCCAAGACCGCCATGACGAAGAGCAAGCTGTCACGGGCAGCTGCCGGCGGCAAGGGGGACGGCCCCTCCGCAAGCAACACCGCACTCAAAGCTGTGAGCACACGTTCGTCGTGTGCGTGCGCAAAGTCCTGTGTCAAGCGAGGTGGAAGAGTGCGCGAGGCAAACTGTGCGCGGGGGGCAGCTGTGTACAGAAGCAGCAGCCAAGAGACCTGCGTGTCACCGAGCCCGAGTAACGACGAAAGCAGAGCCTCGTGCCGGGTGGAAAAAGTTTGCAAGTGCCTGGCGACAAATTGCGGCTCACCGAAAGGAGTGCCGAGTAGCACTATGTGTGCTCTTGCCAGGATTTGATGTCGCTGAGCGGTGGGCCTGACCTGCATTTGTTGCTGCATCCTCTCTGCCTGGCTGCCGTAAGAGGCTTGCCGCGCTGCCACTTTTGCATGACAAACGCTGGTTCCACGCGCCAGCCCACCCAGCTACGGAAGTTACCTAGCTACGATCAGGCACGGCGCCCAGGAGCAGTCGCGTCCGGCCCCACAGCTGCAACAGTGCTGCAACACAGTGCCCAGGAGCGGCCGACGGGAGGTTATGAGAGAACTTGAGCTCAAGCCTGATCTGTATTTAGCCTTGAGCCGGGAAAGCCGAGATCGCTTTGTCAGTGAAACAGCTACGGGCGGGGCTGCCCGTGTGCTGCATTCGCAGAACCTCAGCCTCCAGAGAGAGAGATGTCCTTGAACGACCGTGAGACACAGTCAGAAGTGAAACCATAATCTTGATCACAGTCCCAACATACGGGTAGGAACACAAACAAGGACCAGTATACAACAAAGTAAGAGCAAAACGTGTATGTACAAAGTCGTCACTGCCCCTCTCAGTCCACGTTCACATCTCACACGCCGACGCATCACGGCAGATTGCGGCAACAAACGTGACATTGCGCAAGATGTCACGTGCAGTGTTCACAGCCGGGTCTGTGCTGAAAAGGGTTTCCAACGTAAGCATATTTGATCTCCGAGTTTGCTGTCGCCACCGGCGGCGCTGTTGGGAATAGGTAGCACAAACCAGAAGTGCATGAGACAGGGAGTCAGGGCCATTGGCGCAGAATCGGCATGAGTGAAGTACCATACCGCTGCGATGACGTGCAGAGCGCCCATCCATGAATTCATGATGTCCACAACGCGCTAAACCCCAGAATCTGGCAGCCATGGGACAAGCATGCGTATAAACGACCCTGTGCAGATGCGGTCGTGTCTGCCAGCGAGCATAGCACTCCAAGGAGTCAGTGCAATGCAATAGGTTTGAATAAAGTAGCTGGGAAT